ATGTAATGTGGTCTGGCCCAAATCAGACAATTCAGGAGGCTGAACCTTGTGATGTTGTCTCAGTGAATGTCCTCAGCCACTGCACAACTTACAGCTGCAGAGGTGCTTCTCTCTCCTCCTCCTTCCCATCCCCACTCAGCTTTTTGGTGGCCAGTCTTTTGAATGTTTCCCGAAAAAGTTTCAGTTTTACCAGCATGTTTCCCAAAATAGTTTCAGTTTTGGCGTGACATTTTCTAAAAGTTATTTAAATGGACTACTGCCAACCAGGTTTAAGTAATAAAGAAATCTTCCCTTTTGAAAAACAAAGGGAGATTTAATACTTTGAGGCTTAAAGGGTTTTGGTTAATCTTTGCACTATAAAAAAATAGCAGATATATCAACAAATGACTAAGTCTATGCTGGAAAAGAATAAGGTTTCCCCTTCCAGTGTCTCACTGCCTCTAGAAGGAAGAAAAAAAAAGAAAAAAGCAAACATGCCCTTTCAGGATGCACATTTAGTTTCTGATAAATCATAATGGAGTGACTGTTTGCATAGCAATGCAGGAAAGACTGGTAAGATAAACACATTGCCTGTTCATTTTACCTCCCTGCTTTGGGGTTAGCTTTAGGAATTCTGGCAATGCACCCCAGAGCAATTTAAGAGGAAACTCTAACTTGGTGTGTGCTCTGCTTCTCTGCCCAAATTTATCATCCTGGAAATCAAGGGTGGGGTAACAGACACTTCTCAACTGTTGCACTTCACAGACTTGTGTGGCCATTTGTCTGTGGTTGTTTCTGTGTATTATTTCTGTGTATTCTGAGCTCTGAGAGGCAGGAGCTGAGTATCTGTGGTTTGCTGCCTCTGCTTTGTAAATAGTGCATTTTAGCAGAGGGTAAATGAAGTTACCTCTCGAGTCCCTGATGATGAGCAATGACCAGAAGCCCTGTGTCCTGCAGGACGAAGCGCTGCCATTTAGCAACCTGAGTTGTTTGGAGCTTGGTTTTGTTTGTTGTTGTTTTGGTTTTTTTAACCAAGATGACATCAGTAAAGCAAAAGTTGCTGCCCAGCAGATAAGTGGGTGTTTAGCAGAAAATTTTGAAGAAAGTGGGCAAGATGACAGAAAAGGGTGTGATGAAGTGAGCTCATCATTTGTGCCTGTGAGTGTAGGATGGACTGTGGGGGAAGAGGAGAGGGTGGAACTGCCATGGGGAACCTGCCAAGCAGCTGTCTCATTTTGAGAGATTTTGGTGTCCCAAGGAAAAGCCCCAGAGCATGGTTTGAAAACAGTCCTCGAAGGGATGTTAATGTAATAGGAAAGATGCCTCTTCTGAGTGTTAAACTTGGCCTGTGAATAATGGAAGTTTTCACACTTGCTCCATTGGCATGTGGGATAAATTCCTCCACCTCTGCACTTCAGCCTCCCTGCTGATAGGAGAAGGCTGCTGATAACAGCCTTTCAAAACATGATGACTTGAAGGATTCTGGAAAATGTGACTCAGAGCAAGTCGTGGTTAGGCCTATGTGTTTGAAGGGACAAGAGATGCTCCAGACTTCACTCAGTGGATTGAGAGCCACTCACTCATGAAAATTAAGAGCTTACCTGTTCTCATTTCGGAGGCACATTAAGACAAATCTTTGCAATCATGACTAGGAGAGGAGAGAGCCATGCGCTTGATGATAAGCAAGTGGAGTTTCTACATCTCAAATCTTTAAAAACCTCAAATCAAAAATCAGAATTTATTTTCACTGAAGTGTTCTCAAGGCCAGGAGATTTTCCACACAAAGCAGAATCTAAACAGATAGTATGATTTGCATAAACTTGGAAAAATCCAAGGCAAATTCTGCAGGAATTTTGTTTTAACGTTATTCTTCTTCTAGGCTTGAAAAATAAAAGCTAACCCTTTGGAGTTTTTAACCCATGAAACAGAGACCTCTTTTCCACTTACAGAGTGTGGAAGATACAAATGCCACCATGAACACAGCAACACTCACCCAAAATACTGCCACTACTGCAGACAGCAGAGGATGTAGATACTATAAAGCCAGTAGTGGCTTCAGTACCCAGTGCACTCAAATCAAGAACATAAAGGCAAACAAATTTTTAACTTCTGGCTCCAAGTACCTAATCAGTGCATGTTGTCCCTTTAGATTTAATGAGTCATCCTGCTAACTATTTAATGCACAGTCACCCACAACCCATTAGCAAACACCTTCAGGAGGCAAAAAGAGGGACAAGTCTAAACAGAGTTGGGAAGGCATTTGCCCACACAGACTTACCTCCTCCTTCACTAATGGGCTCTTCCTTCTCTTCCTTCTCTTCTCAAGGACAGCATCAGGTGAGGGGTGCTGCAGAAGGGATTAGCTCTCACTTCCATCTCTGAAGGCCAGGGCCCCTTCCAGGACAGTGCATCTCCTGGACAGCCACACATACACGCACATGCACTTGGGGTCTTAATTTCCTCCCAGACCTTACAGTCTCTCTGGCAGCTTGCTGTGACTCATGTCCCTCCCTTTCTTCCTCGATTTTATTATGCTTTTTATTCTGCAAGTCACCCTGATCCCCCTTCCTTCAAACTTAATGCTATGTGTATTTGTCACCTGCATGACTACAGGCTGTACCAGACCTGCTCATGTCTCCAAACTTCTTCAGGGTATAACCACACTGAAGCTTTGCTCTTTCTCTCTCCCCACTTCTCTCCCTCAGGAACACGTTGCCAAAAAAGACTCCACAAATTCCAGCGAACTGTGGTACTCAACTGTCAGCCATGATGTAAAACATGAAATCTCTGTTGTCGACAGCAATAGTAATACAGAATATGCACTCATCAGTGTGCCTGAGAAGAAGGCAAATGTCACCAGCACAGAAGAGCACAGTGAATATGATGATGTCCTGGTAACTTAGAAGGTATTCTTGTGCCTGAGTGTGTACAGCCATGATGACCATCCCACCTCTGCTGTTGAGTCTTCAAACAAATAACTCTCTTGTTACCAAGCTTACATATTCGTCTACATCTACCAGTCATTTACTATGAGACAAACTTGTCCATGAACAGCTGATCAGAGAAAGAAACATGGACTGGGCACAGGACTTGACAATTACACCAGGGGAATCAGTACCCACTGCCATCATATGACAACGTTCCTCTATAGAAAATTAGGAGCTACAATGTTTTAAGCAACTGAGGCTGTACATTTTTCTGGACTTTTAGAATACTTCTTTTTTTAAAGGGTCCTTAAAGAACTACTGCTATAAATCTCAAAAATGCAATAATAAGAGAGTCTTTCTGTTTGTTTGGGGAATGTTTCATGTTTTAAATGCAAGCATAAACCTTGTGTTAGATGCACTTACTCTTGTCCAAAATTTCTCTGACATGCTTGATTTGTACCATTATACAATGCAAAATTTTTATAAAGAGCTCATTTCTCAAATTCCTCCCTCCCCATTCTACTGCAATACTACTTAGTGTGAAGTCTTTAAGTTGGAATTAAATAAAAATCCCCAAACCAATAAACTGCATGCAAAACAAATATTACACCCACGAGAATACAGTCGATACTGATGCTCCCCAGGTGATAACCACCTCTCAGTGGCAGAAGTCCAGGGGCTGCTTCCATGACAAAATGCTTCCACAGCTCAGTCCTTTTGGAGTCTCCAGTTTGGATTTCTGCAATGCTAGAGTATCATCTCCTCACAGCCCAGCACCACCCCTCTGCAAGCAGCATTTCTGGACATGTGCAAAGGACTGAAACCAGGAATTCAGCTGTTTACCAGAGCTCACAAAGCGATTATGTGCCTGTGTTTTTGCTTAAGCATGTTTTTTCACTCCTTCCATTTTTGTAACAAAACAGTCTGGAAGAAAACGTTGAGCAGTTTTTCTGATTTTAAGCCTTCCTTTGTGATTGCTGGCTGCAGCTCTGGCTTTGTGGTGCAGTTTCTTTGTGACTCCCACCTCCATTTCCATGCTGGGGATAGTCCCATGGGCAAATCACTGCAGGCAGCTGAATCTGTCCAAAATTCATACTGGCTGCTGTGGCCACACAGATGACACCTGCCATAGGATTTTAAAGGGCTGACTGTACATTCCACAAGCTGCTTTTTAACAATGTCTCTGCAGTCTCAGTCATTAAAGTATTATCCTCATTCCTTCTATTAAAATTAACATTGATCATTCACACAAAATATCTGACTTGATGTAATAATAGGGACACCGCTGTGTCCCTAATGGACTGAGTCATAATTAATTCACTTTTTAATTTTCTTTTACATGATCAATTTACCTCACAGATATATAACCAGAAACCAGTTTTTTTTTGACACTTCCTTCAATGAGAGCCCAAAACCTGACTGGATGCAGTCTGTAAAGTCAGACATTTTCTGTTGAATATCACATCTTGCTACAGCTCCACATCCTTTTTTCCTGTGAGGTTCTGGGTTAAAGATTGGACATAGAGGAGGATGGCTGGAAAAAAATGAATGCTTGACTCCTTTCTCAACTCTTAATGCACATGTGGGTATCACCATAAAGAAGTTTAATCATGACATTATTTTTCAGTTCCTAGAATCAAGATATGGAAGTGTTCAAGGAAAGGATCAGGTGTCTTGGTGAGAGCAGTAAGGCTGAGCAGCATCTCAACAGCAATTTCTTTGCTGCTGGCACTTCCATAGCCTGCTGCTTTTGGGACAAGCCATATAAACCATGAAGTTTATCCTTCCCCAGTATAAAAACTAAAAGGAATCTCTTTTCTACCTCTATGCTGCATGAGAAATTATAGTTCCTGTATCTTACAAACCAAGAGGGAATCAGAATAAGCTGCAGACATGAGAGTCATACAAACTACTGATTTGGTCCAGAACGTTTCCTAAGCTCAGTTTAAACACATGCAACAACAACAACTATGGGTTTGAGCAGACAGCTCTGTCAGACATGCTTCATACAGCTCAGCATTTAGAATTCCAATGGCTATTTTCCAACTCACATGGCTGAAAGACTAGAGCTGCTAAAGAATGAAAACAGTCACGTTAAGAGTAAAAATAAATAATTTAATGCACAACAACATTGTCAGATTACTCCTTAAATAAACTAGTAATATTAGAAAGAGAAAAACAAATTTCCATTGCATATTTCTTATAATACAAAATGCTTCTTAAAATAAAAGTTCTATGCAACGGTACTAACATTTATAAGACTATAAAAAAAATTACAAGATACACTTCACTCACATGGTAGTGAATATGTTCCATTCTGCATAAAGTTAATGCTTAATTTTTATGTTATAGCCAGTTACTGTCTGTAACTTTGTGCCATGTTGGCCTACATCTTCTGCTTCAGCACCTTCCTCTTTGCACTGATTCATCTCATCTGGTCTCTCATCAACAAGAACAACTATTTACTGCCTTATTAAGGCAAATACCTTACAAATGTTCATTTTTATCACCAGTGCTGGGCAGGAGCTATAATTAAGGATGTAGACTAGTCTTCAGATTTACAAAAACAGATCAAGTATCACTAGTAGTAGTAGCTAACTGTAAAAGCACACTGATAATTCGACCCTTTAAATATTCCTGCGACATTCAGCTGTGTTAGTGAACAAGATATGTCTCTTCATGCTGTTGCTTTCTGCTTTCATTTTCACATTGAAGAAGAGAAAAACAGAGCAAAGAGCGCCTTATTCAAGGAGACTGTAGGAAGAATAAAGAAATTATGGGAGCTAAAGCAGTCTTAAGCCAGCGCAAAGGCCTTGCATGTAATTAAAGAATAAAAATACCTATATATATATATACATACACATGTATACATATATATTTTTAGGTTTTCAGGCTGTTTTACAAGGAAAGAGCAACAAGTAAATGTAGCATATGAAGTTTGGAGGGAAAAAAATAACAGATATGAGTTTGAGTGGAAGTGAACATTGAGGATGAAACTATACAGATAATTTTGCATAAGCCAAGGGTAAAGAAAGGAGCTATGTGCAAAACTGCTTTTAAGGCTTATGCAGAGTAATCAGATTTAATCATAAGGCAAGACAAGGCAGAGCTTTCAAAGCCCACAGAGCATGCATCAAATACATGATCTTCTCAAGGGTGAAACAGATTATTGAGATATAGAAGAAGGAGGTTGTGGTGCTATACAACACTGCCATAAATAGACCACATTTTCCATTTACAGTATTGCACCACAGGCAGTATTTCTAGGACAACAATTTTAGAAGTGGTTCTACCTAATGAATAGTTCCTGCCCTGGGATTGCTTATAGATAGGGAATCCCATCTCTTCTAGGTGGTGATGGAGATGAGGAACCTTTCCATAATTTCTGCAAAAGTTAAAACAGTACCATATTAATACTAAAATGAAACTTTAAACAGTTGTTCTACATATTCTTTCCTGTCTCCTTTTACACTACTTTTTCTAAGAATCCTGTAAATATATAAAGAAAGAAATGCTTCTGAAAATTGAAACTTATGAGCTGTTGATCTCTTGCACCTTGGTAAACGTCCCAAGAAAAACCAATGTAAGTTAATTGGAAACCTTACTTACCTACACTGCAATGGTGAATTGTTAGCCTTGGATTATTCTAAAAGCACATAGGTGTGACTCAGTAAATTGGCACTGGGGGGAGGCAGCTCCATGCTTTGCTTTTAGTATAGATTCAAAGCTCATGGGACTTTTATATGAGCATTTCTATCAGGACAAATATAAATGCATTGGAATCACTACCTAGTTGCTGGTAGTCATTGGAATAATTGTCTAGAAAACCTGGAAGAATGAACATTTGTTTCCTTTAAAAAGTATTTTCGGTGCAAAATGAACTTTCCAAAAATTTACAGAAGGACAAAAATCAGAAGTCTTTTTCATCCCTTGGATTAAAATTTGTTTTGTTAGCGTTCAAAACCAAATGTACAATAAGGAGAAACATTTTAAATTATTCGTCTCCCCATTATGGTGCACATATATGCAAAGAGAAATTTTCTGTATAGATAAAATGCAATATCAGATCAGAAAAGTTTGGTTGGAGTCCACACCTAACCAGTCTCATCACTATTTCCTTTCTCATCAGAGGACCAAACAGTGAGTCCCAGGTTTTAAGTTAAGCATATCAAGAGTTTCTGAAAGCTATTTTAAAATAGTCTTAATACTGTTATGCAAATAATGTATACTAATAAATCTCAATAACTTTCTAGAAGCATTTCCCTCCTTTCCCATAGATACTTCTGCTCTTTGTAAAGAAACAATTTTTTTAATGTACAGTACTTACATGTGAGAGAAGTTGGGTCGAGCTTTAACCTGTCACATTCAGATGTCTCAGGATTAAGAGTATCTTCATCATAAATATTTTGACGCAAAATGTTCCTTATAAAATCTGGATTCATATTGTTTTCCATAAATCCCTCTGTTGATGGTGGTATAGAAAACACTAGCTGATAAATTACAGTGGAGCTTTCATTACTGAAAAACAAAGTCAAGGATTAATGGCTTCAAGTTTCAGCAGGATCTTTTCTTTTTTTTTTTTTTTTTTTTTTTATTCATATCAATGCTGGAATGAATTTTTAAAAACAAACCATTTCCCCAAGAAAAGAATTATGAAAGAAAACTGCAAAGTTGCCTCCCTTTTCAGAACAGGTCTTGAAACAGGGTACACACTTAAAGCCAGCCAGAGACACATTTTCAAATGCACGAGGGGCAATTGGACACGTGTTCTAATGGGATGTGGTTTTCAGCACTGGTCCTTCACAAGGAGCTACTGATAAGAGGTGTTGTAAGAGGTGTTGCAATATCCTGTGCCTAGTTTCACTAGAAACCTGTAGGAAGGTTTGTTTTCCTGCCAGCAGTACCTGGGACCATGCAGCTGTGCTCCAGACTCAGCTCTGGGGAGGATTACACAAACCAGTGAGCTGGAGACCATCTCTGGAGATTCCATTTTTTGTGGTCTACCAAAACTGACTACGATTCAACAGCTACCTTTTGTACTCAGAGAATTCAAAACATTTTCAAAAAATACTTGAACGGGGATAAATAAAAGGAATGAAAGAGAGGAAGACAGCAAGATAGAGACATCAAAGAAGGCAGAGAGAGTTATTAGCTGATGTGTATGCTGATTTATGTGCAGAACTACAGCTTTGTACTTGATGGCTTAAATCATAGTTAGTATCAGCAAGGCCAAGGAGCTACAGTTCACAGCTGAACAGAGCAAGGGAGCAAAGTACCCTCATCACTGCCCCTTGCCACATTGCAACGTGACTTTTCCTCTGTCACTGCTATCTCAAAGGACCTGGGACTTTACAAACTACTTCTCTTCATTTTGTCCTGTCTTTCTAATTTCTTTTTTAAAAGTTCTTCTTCAGAAGTCCTTGGGAAAGCTCTATGTCTTCTTTTGCCTTCCTGCTATTTCTTCATGACAGGAGGCTTGTATATTCCTCTTGCCTTTATTTCTTTTGGGAACAAAATTATTCTCTCCTCCCCATGAACCTGGTTTTATTTAAGATTATTTAAACTACATCAATCTTAAGCGTCTCCAGCAATTAATTTTCCTTTTAATAAATATCTTTGAACATGTTTATTAAGGGCTGCAATTGGAACCAAAGATAACAGAGATGATACTTCACAGCACCAATATGTTCTTGTCATTATATAATTTTAGCAGCATTTACCATTTAAACCAGATGATCCTGTGGCCAGTTTTCACTGCCTATACACATAATTTTCCCCAAACAACCTATTTTTCACAGATTTAAATATTGTACGTACTTATATATGCACATGTATGTCTCATCAAAAGCCTGTAATTTTCAGATAACTTTGGTGACAGAAATTGCTTACCTGAAAGAAAGCACCTGAGCTGACCTAAAGTATCGTCCTAAAGCTGGAGATGAGCTGTAGACATCTGTTAGCTGAGAGAGAGAAAAAAAAAAATGTTTCTTCTATTCAATCTCTCAAAAGAAAAAAAAAAAAGCAGCATAGCAAATCATTCTTTCAGAGTGCTTTCAGGAGCACAAAAACAGGTGCTGAAGGTCAAATAACAGCAAATATCTGCCCTGGAAAAGGTAGAGAGTCATTTAAATTTGACAGATAAGTTAATTGTGCATTTAAGTGATTGCTATGTAACCTTAACACAATGGAGGCACTCAAGGTGAACTAAAAGCATGTGCTCATGTTGCCATGTGCAACTAATGTTAGATTTGGGATCTAATTAGTACCAAAAGGCTCTTCTAACTCTTACTTTGTTGGGGGGAGGGTCTCTGTCCTGAGATTGCCTTCCCACCATCTCCAAATGATCACTGCCATGTATGCTGAGCATATTTCAGCTGTAACTCAGAGCTGTTCTGGCTCAGCAGAAATCACAGCTATAAACCCAGGCTGTAATCATGTACTCATAAGAGTACATAGGATGTACTCATATGTACTGCAAGTACATATGCAGCACATAGGATTTTTAGCCTATATTATGCTTAGATGACTTTCACAGGCCTCTCCTAAATTATTCAGTGATTCTACAAAAAAAGGTGAAGAGAGCATCTTAACAAATGGTCAAATTTATGGGGAAAAAAATCAATACTTTCTTGTGCCTAAAAGCAGACAATTCTTTTTTTTTCCCCTAAATTGCAACTTTTAAAAAGTACAACAGATTTTATTTGTGGACTTGCAAATGACTCAGTTGCTACGCAGAGAAACAGAAACTTCTTAAAAGGCAAAACATTGAAACTATGTTCTAAACAGAATCAACTTTACCAAGAATCACATAAACACTTACCCTCTTAGTAACATCCTTGGTGGAGAAGTGTGGGAGACTACACATTAACTCCAATGTTCCTGAAAAATTGTGAAAATTTCCATTGCTTAGTAATTCTTCAGGATCCCAGTAGTCATCCTCATCTGTGTAAACATCTAATAATCAAAAGGAGATAGAAAGGGGAGAAAAAAGGTTCAGATAGCTGAAGTATTGAAAAACAACCCTCTTGGCTTTCTGGTGGATTACTTAGGTAAGGGCTGACTGGGAAAGACAGAAAGAAAGTGGAAGTCATCTGAAAAAAGTGACATCACCTGGAGGTCAATCATCCACCTCCATTAGCAAAAGCCATCTGTCCTGGGAGTCTGACAGGCAATGACACCATGGGACCTAAGTCATCCATGGCACTTGTTCCAACATTACAAACATCATTTCCATCCTCATATCCAAATCTCTTCTTGTGATATTTTCTCACTTAGCTACAAAATTGAATTGCCACCTGATCAGGATACCAGTTGCTTGCTGCCTGCTAAGATAAAAGCATTCACAACAACTACTGAATTACAGTACCACCCTCTGCAGTCAGTATCCCAGTTCCTTCAGCAGTTTACTGAAGGACATTAAAGGATGTTATTGTTGCATTTGTGTTCTATTAGATTGTACATATAGCATGCTTGTATTACTGTAACCAAGAGCAAGATACTTACTAGAATAAAGAATTAGGCTGATGAGAATGACCAGGATGAGCACTAGAAATATCGTAGCTATAAGCATCCATAGTTTACACTTCCAGAAAACTACATTCCTGCATGATTTCCAGGGATCTTTCTCCTAGGTATAAAAGAGAAGAGCATATTGATTAATCAAATAAGGCAGGAAAAAAACCCGATTGAAGCATGTCTCTACTGTCACATTTAGAAATAAAAAATCCCACAAAGATGGGAGAGCCTCATTGGTAAGCAATGCCCTTTATCAGGGGTTCCCAGCCTTGACTACTGCTGCAGGAGAAAATGCAGACCTCGAGAAGGTAAAGGACATTCACTTGAGACACATCATTCCCCTTTTTTGCAGAATTTCCAACTTTTGAAAGGCCGATAAAGCTCAAGTACTGCAAAGGTGATTTCTCGGCTCCACTTTTTTTTTTTTTTTAACTACGTGATTTAAATTTGCATATTTCACTAGCTCTCGTTATTGTTTGTTATCTCTCCCAACTAAAAGGGTGTCTCTGGAGGCATTTCCAAAATCATTCATCTCTGTGGCATTGATGATGTCAACCTGCATAGATTTTGGGTGCCAGCATCCAATGCAGAGGCAATGCTATTTGATAGATACTATTGTGTTAAACCCCCAGTAAAAATAATTGAGACTTTTATAGCTGACTTACTTTTTCTTCAGAAGATTGGAAACTTGAAGGCTATTGAGGGTATTTAAGAGAGGGTTTAATGCAAATCTCACCTGTTCTATGAGGTCGAAAGAGAACTTCACTCAAAGCAATTGTGCATGTATGTACATTCTTATGGGAGAGAAAGGGCAATACCTTGCCTGTGATTTAATTTTTAATAAGATTGAAAACCATGACAGAAATTAGTCTTTTAATAAGTTAATCCAGCAGAATGAATATAGAAAAAAAGAAAAAAAAAAGCCGGGGGGGGGGGGGGGGAGAAGAAACAAGCTTAGGTGATGGCAAAACAATCAGAAGAATCAGAAGACTGAAGCAAGGCTTGAATTTATAAGCAGACCATGCTGTCTTTTTAATTACTCCTCTCCCTCCCTCTCCATCCACCATAAAGGTAGTAGTAAACTCTATGTCCTTTTTGTCATCAGCACCAGGTGAGGAAAAGCACGTGCTGTAGGTTGTCTGGGCCACACACGTGCAGACTGGCAGGAACCAGCTGCTGCTGGAGGCACTAATCCACGTTTCCTTCCTTTGCTTTTTGAACTTTCTAAGAACACAGAATAAGAGAGAGGCTTTCACTGAATTTAACTGAATCAAGCAGCTGGCTAAAAGCTTTTATGTGGGTGGCAGGGGAAGAGAGAGAGAAAACAGACACACAGAGAAAGAGTTTACAAGAGAGATTCCTCCAGGAGCACAGGCAGAAAAGGTTTCTGTAGACACCTCTGCACAAAGAACTTTGCTCTGCTGGAGAATGAAAGGCAAACATTGAATATGGTTTTGTTTACAGCATACTTTCAGCTGTGATCACACTTTTTTTTTTAATTTGATTTAAAAAATATTTTAGAAGTATGATTTCAATTTAATACTTTACACTAAGACATAATTTTGTATTTAAAAAAATTTTAAAAGCCAGTAACTACTGCCTAGAGAACAACTATGAAATCAGCCATAGCCTCATCATTTGAGACAGGCAGATGTCAAGCCCAAGTTTTGATTGAGCCACCACATGTTTAGACTATCCTAAAACACAACTCTTAATGACACACAGCAAACTGGCTTGATCCCAAGAAAACATTCAGCTCCACAACTAGTCCAACGCCTTCCAAACTTTGCCCATGGGCCACGGGGAAGAAACAGCAGCTGAGAAAGTGTCCCCGGTGGGCAGGGCAGCTCTGATGAGCAGAAAGCCAGAGCACAGTGACTTCCAGCAGTCTGTGCAGGATGGGAAGACGCTATAACCAGCATAAAGAGAGCTCAAATGAAAACTCAGTTCTGCCAAGGCGAAGTGACGCTGTTGAGGCAGAACGGGAATGAAAAGACTGACTCCAAAGGCTGCTGAGAGTAAAAACTCTGATTTTATTCAAAATTCATCACTCTTTATACAGAGCTTTGTGCAGACCAACTCCATTAGTCCTGGAGTGAAAACAACAACATCATTGATGCAGAGTGCTTGATGCACAGTGATAGAACTTAACTATAAACAATGTGAACAGCACAGAGATAAACCTCTTATTTACCTTATTTTCCAACAGATTCCCAGGCTTCTGCCTGGTTAGAAACTCTCCGTTTCCCTCTTTGACTGAATCTGAGACCCACAGAGGAGGAAAAACCCAAGGGTGAGGCTTCTTGAGGCAGTCCAACAGATGTAGCTGACCCCTTGCCTCTCCTCCCCCTCTGCTGCTCCTCTTTGCACTTTCTGGAATGTGGCTGGCCCTGCAGCGAGCTGATTCAGCTTTCCAGACCACGGGAGAAGGAACTGACCCCAACATGAGTGAACAAAGAGGCTTTTTGCCTCTCAGCGGAATGAACCAGTAGTACTACACAAATGCTCCTGCAGTAACACTACACAAATACTCCTGCAGTAACACTACACAAATGCTCCTGCAATAATGCCGCACAAAAACTTCTGCAGTAATACCACACAAAAACTTCTGCAGTAATACCACACAAATACTCCTGCAGTAACACTACACAAATATTCCTGCAGTAATACCACACAAATGCTCCTGCAGTAACACTACACAAATATTCCTGCAGTAATACCACACAAATGCTCCTGCAGTAACACCACACAAATATTCCTGCAGTAATGCCACACAAATATTCCTGCAGTGATACCACACAAATATTCCTGCAGTAATGCCACACAAATATTCCTGCAGTAATACCACACAAATATTCCTGCAGTAATGCCACACAAATATTCCTGCAGTAATGCCACACAAATGCTCCTGCAGTAATGCCACACAAATATTCCTGCAGTAATGCCACACAAATATTCCTGCAGTAATGCCACAAAAATGCTCCTGCAGTAACACCACACAAATGCTCCTGCAGTAATACCACACAAATGCCCCTGCAGTAATGCCACATAAATGCTCCTGCAGTAATGCCCCACAAATGCTCCTGCAGTAATGCCCCACAAATGCTCCTGCAATAACACTACACAAATGCTCCTGCAGTAATATTATACAAATGCTCCAGCAGTAATGCCACACAAATGCTCCTGCAGCAAGTCGTGTTATTCGCTGTACAACAGTCACGTGTGAATATGATGTTCCAGTGCCAGAATTGGTCTGTTCCTGTCGCTTTAAACTAGTGACTAGGTGCTCCCTCCCCTAGGATTCACGTGCTGATCTTAACGGAGGTTTTGGAGCATTCTATTGATAAAAATTCATAATGGCTAGCAACTGAAAATTACTCAGAGATAAAGAGAATCCAGCATGATGTGTTCGAGGACATCTTATTTTTGTATGGCAGCACTGTTTCCTGGTTAATTTCTACTGAAAGAAAGCCCGGTTTTAAAACTTATTTCAACTTTTTTTCTGGTTTTGAGCCCAATCCCACTGATAGCACATTAGAAAAGTAAACAAAACTCAGAGAACCAATTACAGTTTCACTTCCTAAATTAAAGCTTAAAACCCCACTCATATTAGAACACTTCATTGATAAGAAAAAAAATTACATGTAATGGTATTTTAGTCTCTTTCCCTCTACCTCAAACAACAAATTAAATCACCCCTACAAAATGTTCCTTCAAGTGTAATTTCTCTTGCTGTGTAGTATTTGGGAAATACATCCCCCACTGGAAGGATCAAATGACCAAATGAAATTCCTACCTTTCTCATTTGAGCATTTAGAGGCTTGCCACGATCAGTCTCACTTTCCTCCACATTTTGTTCTTGTAATTCAATAATTTCATGCTCCTGAGCAGAGTTCTGCCTTTTCATTGCTTCTGTCTCTGAAGAGGGTCCTCTGCGAGGACCTCTGTCTCTGAAGTGAGCACGGAGCCAACTCATTTCCTTCTTGTTTCAGCTGCAATTATGGTCAGTAGTAGCTCTGACACGAGGCTGGAAACAGGAAGAGTGGCGATAGTTTTCATAGGAGAGGTCACTAAATACTGTTAAATTAGGGGAATTCCTTGGAAGAATAATTAAAGTCAGCTGCCCTAGCTGCAGAGAAAGGAAGGCGGAGGAAGTATTGATTTGCATAGCCGTGAGAACTCTGACTCTCAGCTATGCAATACTAGGTTTTCCAGTTTGCCTACCTGCCTGTACCAGCCCTTGACAAGCAAGTGACTAAACCTTCAGCAACGCTGGGACAATTTTGAAAGGAGCCAGAGTGTTTTCTCTGCTGCTGACAGCCAAAACAGTAAAATGATATTACTGTTATCTGTTCAGCTGAACAGATGTGGTGCTGAACAGCACGAACGGAGTAGAAGTTCAGAGAGCATATTGTTTGCTTGGGCTGGGACTCTGTCAGCACTTGTGATTCTAGTCTCCCTCTATAGTCAATGAAAAAAATGAACACTACTGACCTTTGTGCTGTAAATTGTTCTCCCTCTAGGTATTATACTGTCTAAAATCATATCTAGTATTAAAGAACCATTTATGTCCTTTAACATATTATCCAACCTAAACCCGAGAAGCTGCTTTCAGGTAAAAAAACCCCAAAGGACATAGATAAACAGAAGAGAAAGATGGTCTTAGTTTCAGCCTGTGTTCTACAGGACATGAAACAACCATGGTGATTTGGTCTGCACTAGCTTCCCACACAAACTCTCACGTGCACTTGAAGTCACCCACAACTGCTTACTGTAGCCAGGGGCTGATTATGACCCCAGCCTCCTCAGGACCCTTGATCCTACCCCCTCTTATTTCTCCTGTTCACACTCCATCCCCATGTTTCTCTGTCCTTCCCACAGAGCATCTTTCTCCCCTCTGGCTCAAAAAGTCTGAGCAGACAACAGATCTTCCTCACTCTTCTGTCCCAGCACAGGGAGTATCAGGCACTAGGAACCAAACACAGCCTCTCTCCCTGACCCCCTTTCCCGCTGCCACTCACAGCACCACTCCTTTTTCCTGCCAAAAGCTCAGGGTCCTCTTCCCTTGCCCCACCACTCCAATTTTCTCTTTGTGCCACTCACCTTGGTTCTGCTGCCTGAAGCACACCCGGGGTTTGCATTCCTGATGTCACATCACACCCATCCAGGCAAAGGCACTCCATGAAAGTGAGCATGTCCTAGGTTTATTCCAGAAGTAAAAATAAATACAAATTGTATGCCCCACACCTTTTGGCCCCAAGAATCTTTAAAACTCTGGAGGACTGAAGGTGAAACTGAGCAGTCATCAAGATCAGAACCTGTATCTGGATCCACAAAATCTTACGTAGGACATTTTACACTAGAAAAGCTTTTATCTGGTTCTCACTACTCCTGCTGAATATCAGGTTCATTTATTTAATTCCTACTCACAACAGACCTTCCTACTGGATTTTCTGAAACCAAAACTGCTCCTCTAAGACAAAGAGTTAATGATTATACTGATCTCACTATGCTAAGACCAAAGTCCTTATTTTATTTTATGCACTTATGAAGAAGCTCCTTGAAGAGGCTTTCTTTCATCTGGGGGATCTAACTTCCACACTTGGTGCATTTCTTCCATGTGAAATTCTGACCCTTCAGCTTTACAAAAACAGGAAAGTCCAAGGCATCAATGCAGTTTAGGACTAAAGTTTAGGACTTTAGAGTTTCAGAGGCACATCCAAACAAGTAAAACACAGCCCCCTTGCAGTTTTAGCATATGTTTATTAAAAAGGAAGATGTGAATAATGGAGTAGCCACTAAAGAAACAACCCTGCTAACATACAGGCTTTGAATATAGCTTGTGCTGTAAGTTTGACACAAGCTGGGGCAAGATGCCCAACAGGAGAGAGGAAGGAAAAGAGGAAGAAAATCTGCATGCAGATTACAGTGCTAGCTCTTTTCATGTTTCCCCCACACACTGCCAAGGTAGGTCTAACACTGAACAAAGATCACAAACTTACATGCTGCAGAGTGAGTGTTCTGTGTGGACAGCAAGAGAAGGTGTACAAACTGCCAGCTTATTTTTAAAAAATATATATTAAAGGTGAAAGCTAAACATTTCCAAATACTGAGCACAGCTTAAAGACCATCTAAGCGGTCTTAAGGCCATCTAGAGAATTATTTTATTAAGCTAAGTACTGGTATTCTGAAGTCACATAAACAGCTTTGGAAACCTTAAATTGCCTGGATTTAGAGAAATAAGTTCATCAAGAGATTAAAATTATAAAACCTAGATTTACTACCAGAGTTAAAGGAATGTTGCTGTCATTTCTTATTTTGCTTTCCTTGAGCCCAAGGATGCATCCAACCACATAAATCCATTTTCCTTTTATGTCCATTCAATGTAGTGTGGCCTTGTGGGCACAGCCTAGAAAGATGCACAAAAAAAAAAAAAAAAATATTTCCTGAGCCTGAAACTCTGCTTACTGTGGACCAAGGACAGGATGAAAACCAATCCTAACCTACCAGGAACATGCTAAAAAATCACAGTGGGTACAGAGCCAGAACTGCAGAAATACACCTGTAACATATTGCAAATATTAAACCCTAGAGTTAGTTCAAATTCTAAAGAGAATTTAAGAAAGCATTATAGTTTCCTTTTGTTTAATGACTTACAACTTTTTCATTCCTTCCTTTTATTTAGACATCATCCCAAAGAACCTAAATTATACTCATCCAGTTATTTAATGAAAATTTCTTGCATCCTAGCATTTTTGAACTATAAAGCTGTTATTTTTAAGAAAACACAGTAGAGACTCCAAAAGTTACAGCCCAGAAAGTAAAAGTCATGCAGTCACACATAGCTAGAAAGAATTAATCTCAGCTTTGTACACAATACACTATTATATTTTTAAGAACTATGAAATAATTATTTATGTTTATAATCCTGTAACATCCCTAAAGAGTTGAATATATACGGCATGTGGCCATTTTTATCCAGATATGCATATGTGGAAACAAATATAGATAACAAGGGACAAGGAAGGAGAGGAGAAGGGTTACGAATGAGCTATGGCTGGATTTTTGTTACAGGTTATAATCCATTTTATTTTGTTTTTAAGGCAGTGCTGTTTCTGCAAATAGACACGAGGAAGATGAATCCATAAGGAATCTGAAGTTCCTCTGAGGCTGAACAGTTATTGCTAGATGAACCACAAATGATAGTTTCTTCATTAAAAAAGCGTATTCTTTCACCAAGGAACAGTCAATGGCATTTTTGTGTTGTATCATCAAATTGACTACAGTAGGAAGCAGCTTTCACACAGAGGGGATCTGCATTTTCTCCTTGGCTCATCAGTTTGTGTTCTGACGGATCCAGTCATAAAGTGCTGCCACCCTGGTGTACACACCAGGGCGATTGCGCCGAGCACAGCCTTCACCCCAGCTCACGATGCCAGCAAGGTACCATCTATTGCCTTTCCCTGTGCAGGCCAAGGGACCTCCAGAATCTCCCTAAAATGAAGGAAGTCCAGCCATTAGTGTACACACACAGAGCGCTGTAACAAAAAAACAGGTTATTTAAGAACAGGAAATACCTGCCCCTCTTTTTCTCAAATTAAAATTTAATATAAATTAAAACTCACTTCTGATATAATGTACCCAGCCAGATGTCATATTTATCCAATTATTTTAGCTTATGGATGTAGTGCATTTATCAATATAAAGCCAATGGCAAGAAGCAGTTTATAAAATTACTCCTTGATAATGTCCCATTACAGGATTCACAGAATAACTCACCAGAGCCCGAACAGGGAGAGAAGAAGACAGGGATGGAAATAGGGAATTCTACTACAATTTGAAATCTACTATAAATTGTTCACAGGTTGAAGGCAGATCTCTTCTATTGTGTGTTAAATAGGAACAGAAAGATACAACACACACCCCAAATAAAAAAAAGCCAACAAACCAGGCACAATTAAGTATTATCAGCAGTTTTATAATCAAGACTGAGTCTACAGTAGACTACATTGTAGAGGCAGAAGAAGGAAAAAAGACTAAGCGATGTGCAAATAAGAACTGGCTTCTCAAACGGAACATGCAGGTTTGCCCAGCAATGCAGAAAAATAAAAATTCCCATTCAATTCCGTTCACAGGATCAAAGTGCATTTGGGCTCATCAGTGGTTTTTTTGCCTTTGGTTACTTTAACCTTCTGTAAGTTAGTCTGTTGACAGAGCTCGGGGCAGCTACAGCGCAGCTCCTCTCTGCATCTGTTCCTAATGCACACAAGGCAGGCAGCAGACTCCAAATTGACCCTGGGGTTTGTTTGAGCCCCCAGCTGCAGCCAAAACATGTAAGAGGTCAGAGAAAGCCACGTACTGAGAAAAGAGCAATAAACAGAAAACTTTCATCACCCAACCAAACAAAATTATCTATTATGGTGGTACAAAATTATCTTCAGATAAGAGAAGAAGCCAGAGTTCTTCCTTTCTCTCTGGCTGCTGTCATACTAGAAATGCTGATAATCCAGAAGACTGATGTCAAAGTGACTTGAGAAAGGAGGCTGTGTAGTCCAGCCAATTACTTAGCCAGTTCTGAAAGACCAAAGGGGTTGTATACCAGTGGGGAGAGGAAGGATCCTAAACAGAGGGACCAAGATCAAAGAACATCCTAGAGTGATATGAAAACAGTCGGAAAGGGTAATTTTTTTTCTTTCTCATGTATCAGGTCCTCTAAAGATGAAAGGTATTTGGAAGCTTCACATAAGTTGTGCAACATATTCAGGAAGGAGTGAATCAGAACAGGACCCTTATAAGTCAGAAAGCATGTAAAGGGGGTTTAGGGTGCTGTGGGGCTTTCCTGAACTCTCAGTGTCATTCCTCTCTAGCACCGTACAGGAAACACATACTATTTATTACATCATATATATACTAGTGATTCATTGCATATTATATATACTAGTGACAGAAAGCAAGGACAGATGCTACCCAGACTAAGAACTTAAAGACCCAAAGGGCCAACATGCTAGAACTCAGACACAGTGTGTCATGCTGGAAACTGGCCAGTATGATATTCAGCTGAATTGGTTAAAAATTCCCATCTGAAAATTCAAGGGCGTTACTTAAGCAACACATTTTTTTTGAGGAACACCACCCCTCTAACATTTTAGCAAAACAATTCCAAGGGCAAAGTTTGCAGACAAACTCTACAGAATAATAATAAAAATAATAATTAATTTAATTATGTCCTTGACACTGCAAGAAAATTCTGCAAATAATCTACTCTGTTAAAGAAATTTGACCCATCATGAGTTACAATCCTGCAAAAGTTATCCTTTTGCATTAAAATATTAAAATATTACACAAAAATTGTAACAAATTGCCTCTAATTTGGTCTAATATTCAGTAACAAATTTCTATCCCCTTTACATGGTAACTGGTATTAAAAACATGTTTGTAAAGTTGATATTCATCATCAGAAGTTTGAACACCAATGAAGTACACAACTAGTGTACTAGGAGAAAGATGACAGTCAGGACAGGTGAAGAATGTCCAAAATGCAGTTTCTGATTGTGTGTGTAAACAAGCTGGGGTTTATAATTTACACTACTACTACTACACTGTGATGTAGTCACAACTTGTAATTCTACACATGAATAAATGTTTGAAATTAAAAAGCACCATTGCAGCTGCAGTTCCAAAACATTTTCCTTTCATATTTCTTTGCAACTGTAACAATACATTACTTATCATACTTTTAGAGCATTTTAGCAATTCCACACCCAGATATTAAAAAATGATTAAAGTAAATTAATACAAATAGAATAATTCACAGGTGGACCTTTTATCACAGATGATTCCTTTTATCTTTTTATTTTTTCTCTTGTATGAAATAAAAGTGTTAAGATGAAAAAGAATTCTTCTCGACACATTTTACCCCTTGCATTTGCAAAATTATATTGAGAGAGAGAGTCAGAGATTATTTATGATGAATTTTATTCCTTATTTTGATGGGCTTTTAGTTGCCATTTTAAATTAACCATAAACTCACACTCAATTAAAAAAAAAACCAAAACCAAAAACTAAACAACAACAAAAAAGAAAAAAAAAAAAAAACAAAACTACCCACCACACAAAGAACCTAAAACTCTGAAAAGTTTTCCAGTGAAAGCAAACATTCCTTTGTAGTTTTGACACCCATTCCAGATTACCTGGCATGCATCAACACCACCATTAAGGTTCCCAGCACACAGCATACGTGAAGTAATGAGATCATCATAGAGCTTGCTGCAAACACTTTGGTTAATCATTCTCACTCGAGCTTCCTGCAGTGTTTTGGCAAGATGACCTAGAAAAAAATACAAAAGGTATCGCAGAGGTTAAGGTGGCACAAATTTCTTGTAGAGATACCAATTGTCAAAACAAAAGAGAATTGCTTCCCACTCAAAATCTACCCAGCTAATGACAGCAGAGTAATTCCCTTCCCTTCCCTTCAAATGCTGTCTGCTGTTTTTCAAATTTTTGAAAGCTGTTGTTCACACTACCCTATAGCCATCGATGTTCCAATGGACCACCTTTCCATTTCCCTAGTCTGTATCCTTACGACCTTTTTCTGCCAGAAAGTAGTAAAAGTGCCATGCAAATTGTAATGTAAGACTGCACACAGGGTGACTAAATTTGAAAACTATTTCAAATTATGCATGAAGCTTTTTGTTATTATTGAAACCGTAGCTGTGCTTCAAACAACATCCAAGTCCTACAAAATGCAATTTCTATGTTTTTTTTCCATCCTCTCCGTTCTAGGGAAGAAACTGAAGAATAAAAAAACCCAAAGAACAGTCTGTAACTCACAAATGATGCTAAGAGTTTCATTCTGTACTATGGTATTGACATAAGGTGCCCTTATGAACTAAATATCCTGACGCCTCTGATCTGTTTAACGCTGAGACAGGGCAAGGATCCCCTGCCACCCCTCTCTGAGTGTGCATTTTTTCTGCTTTCCCACTGCAGCTGGCTGCTTCAAGCTACACAGAGGCGGAACTCTTTATGAGGCCTTTGATTAAGACAGAGAAAATGAAAGATCCTCCACGTTTTTTTGCAATTATTGCTGCTTATGGCTCCGTGTTGTCAATCAGACAATTCTTTCTCTGCAATAGTTGCAATAGTTACTGATCTCTTTTCTTCCAAGGTTCAATTCATCAGATTAAATGAGTTATGAACATGAAAATGGGCACATTTTTGTAAATCTATAATCATTTGCATTTCAGTGATCTGTGACACCTGAGTATGCATTTTGTCACTTATCAGCTGCTATCCAAGCAACCATTCAGAATTCACAGACTGTAGCTAAGGAGATATTTTCTAGCTTTTTATAGACACACTAAATAAACTACATGACGGGTTTTTTGCTTACAAGTATAAATATTCCATTGTTAGAGTGTCAAACTAAGCCAAACTTGCAAAAAGCATATCCAGGAAATGAACATACTATTTTCTTTTACGGCTCCCCAGCCAGTTACATAGCAGACAGTTCCATAAAGAAACACTCTAGAGGTGCTGGGTAAACAAATGGGCTGTACCAGCTCACTGAAGAGTACAGGTGTCTCCATTTCCAGCAGGGCAATGTCATAGTCTGAGATAGATTGGTCATACTGTGGGTGGACAATAATCCTTGTGATTGATCTCATAGCTACACGATTGCTCTTTTCATTAATAGTATGCGAGCCCATATACGCTCTCCATCCCATTGGAACAGAGTATCTGTAAAAAAAAATGGTTTTAGAACATCCCATTGGAAATCTATGCAAGGTTAGCTCATTCCATTTTAACTACTTTTCAGTATTTGAGGACATTCATCAAAACTAAAGTACATGGAGTAGAATATGACTTCAGAAGATAGATGCACTCTAGTCTCTGTCTGCTAAAACATTAAGCAATGTTTTTACTTGCTATTGAAATGAATTAATTTCTTGGATTTATAAAACCAACTCCTTGCTATGCATCATGCTTTGGAACTCATAAAAGTATATTCTTAAACTCTATCTCCTCCTTAACACACGTAGGAGGTATGCATTTTCAATTTTCACTACCTAAACTGAACATCAATCAGGTTTTCACTCATTGATCAATATATAGGACATATACTGGGATAAAAGGCCATAGTACTACTCAGAAAACTCCTGCCTGTGAAGGAAAAAAATAAAAAAGGTGCTTACCCTACATCTAACAGAACAGTGTCTGTCATGCAGGATTTACTGGCGACAGAACCAAAGAATAACTTCAGAAACTGAAGACTTGTGAAGCCAGCAGACAACACCAAGTGTTTACATAGTGAGGTCATATCACCAAGTTATTACCTGGATCAACTTATCTAGGCAAGGAATAGCTTTTGCAAATTATTGAAAGTACCATTGTAAGGTTATTAAACTGCAAACACTCTAGAACAGTATAATTTCCTCATGCCTTGCAGAATCAGAATCCAGGAAGCAATGGGCAGCAGATATGAGCCACTTGTTGGAGATGACAGATGCGCCACACACGTGGCCACGTGCCCCCATCTGTAAACTTGCTTGCCAAGGCCACTTCCCAGATCTCGCATCTTCACCTCCAACAATTCTGGTTTTCTTAAGTTGGGGTCTTCCACAAGCTAACAGAAATAATTTAATAAATTAGTAAAAAGCCCACCAGTTAATTCACTTCACCATGCTCAGCACAAACTTTTGCCTTTAGATCTCACTGTGCAATTAGTAAAAAGGTGAGTGCCTGTTTTCACTCAATGGGCAGGTCAGATACAAAGCAGTCATTGTCTATCTTCCTGTGTAAAGAGCTGAATAACTCAAAAAGAGGTTGAGCACAATTTAAAAGTTCATTTGAATCATTCTTGTCTCTATTCCCTCCTTACAAACACAGCTTTACTCTATTTCATTCAGCTCAATAAAGCAGCAAGACCTACCAGCTTATCCTGAATGTGTTGCATGAAATAAGTCATCATAGACAGAATGAATGAGTTGGTTTAAAAGAAAAGTGCAAAATTCAAGACAGACATTGGCATACAGTATTGCCAGGAAATTATTTTTTTTTAAATTCATATTTTATTTAACCAATTCTTAATCCAATAATGCTTAATAATAACACAAATTGCTGATTTAGTTTCCTAAGTAACTAACAAATCTTAAAATAAATGTTACCACAGTTCATTTCATCTGATCCATCTGCACAGTCTCTCTTCCCATCACACTCAGGACTTGGTTTCAGCAAGCATTTTCCATTGAGGCATTTGTATGCATAAGGGGAGCAACTTTTGTAGGCTGAAATAAGAGAGAGAATATAATGTCACATGTTTGGAGTCATGCTTTCAAATTATTAACAAAACATTGCACATTTGGGAAGTTGTTCAAAGCTACACATTCTAGTCTGCTTGAAGGAGTAGTCTGTGCTGGTGTAAACTGGTCTCTCTATGGAGAGGGGACAGGGGAATGATCCACTCCAATTAATGATTTCACTAATTACAGCCTCCACTGTCCCTGAGAAAAAAGAAGGCCCTCCTACTGTCCACACTCCCATTTTACACAACTCTGACCTGAGTAAGTGTGGCTTCTCAGATCTGTTCTTTTTCCTTCACCAGCACTACTGGTATTACAAATCATAAATCTTCACAGCATCTTTTCATTTTCAAGTGAAATTGAGAAAACTGCAGAAGAGCTTTATACCTCCCTCCAATCAATTTCTGCCTAAGGACTATCACAGTTTACTATGTGAGAATCCTGATAGATCTCAGCAATTGGCTTCCATTACTATTATTATTATTGCCAATTGTTTACAAGGACCTCTAAACAGTGGGAGGTAGTTTTTTTCAACAAAGATTTACTCCTGGCTACCCCAAGATTGAAAGCAAGGCAATAATTGCATAAGCAAAATGCAGGAAGTCACTAGGGAGCCATTGGTAGTACCAGCAATGTCCACAACCATTGTGATCTGCAGTAAAAAGACCATCAGTGTGGCAAAAGTCCCCAGCCTGCTACGTTTCTCTTCCTTAAATTATGTGATACTGATCTGGCAGCATCTGGGGGAAAAGTGCTCTACCAACAGGATCACCAATAACATGTGCTTGGTTTTCTTACTAAAATCTTTGTTTTCTTGGATTTTTCTTCATTAATTGTCTAAACTCTCCCCAAACCTAGTTTTACTCTGCATAATTTATTATTCACTATTATGAAACTTTTACTTAATGCAATGGAAAAAATAATCTAGAAACAACACATACAACTGTTAAAATATGCATATTCCTGCTTCTGCTTTCTACCATCTTTTGGAAAATACCTAAAAATACTTACAGCAGTTGTTTTCATCACTGTCCTGCCTGCAGCTGTCATCATCTTTACAAGACTTATACTGAGGTTTACACTTCCCATCACCACAGTTCAGCTGTTCTGGATTACAACCTGAAGAAAAATAGTCTGTAAACTTCTAATATGAACAGCAGACCAACAGCCACATGCTACCCTCCCTGCTAGAGGTCACCTGGATGTTCTGTCAGACATGTATTTACCTTGGTTTTGATAGTATCCAGTGACAGAGAGACTTGTGCTGTACTCTCTGACCTTGGGTTACCTTCTGGTCACTGTTTCTGGCATCTTTTGGATGTTCCCTACCTTCTTTGACATGTGGTGCCTAATTTAGGTACAGCACTCTAGCTGGTACTAGAGTACTGTAGATCACCCACAGGTAATTTTCAAATTCCTGTCTTACATCCTAGTGTGACACCAGACACACTTAAAAAAAAGAAAAAAAATAACACCAAACAAAAAACAAACCCAGAACAAAGACAACTAACCAACAAAACACCAAATACAAACAAAATTCACAAAGAGTATTTTGCGATTTTGACTCACAAGTCAGCTTTTGAGCAACAATCATCCCCCCAGCCATTTTTTTTTTTTCCAAATAAAAAAGCAATTTAGGCAGTCTACATATCTGTTTAATTATCTCCATTCAGAGCTTCACAAAATCACAGAATGTTCTGAGTTGAAAGTAACCCATCCTGGCCCTGCAGGGCACCACCCCTGTGCTTGAGGTCATTATCCAAACGCTTCTTGAGCCCTGGCAGCCTTGGGGCTGTGACCACTGCCCTGTTCCAGTGACCAGCCACCCTCTGGGTGAAGAACCTTTTCCTAATGCCAAACCTCATCTTCCCCAGACACAACTTCAGCCATTCCCTCGGGAGTGTCACTGGTCACCAGAGAGCAGAAATCAGAGCTGCCCCTGATTGTCCTCATGAGGAATTTGTAACTGCAATGAGGTCTCCCCTCAGTCTCCTCTGCTCCAGGCTGAACAGACCAAGTGACCTCAGCTGCTCCTCCTACAGCTTCCCCTCAAGGCCCTTCACCATCTTTGTTACGCCCCTGTGGACACTTTCTAATAGTTAATTTTTTATTTTGTGGTGCCCAAAACTGCCCCCAGCACTCGAGGTGAGCAGGACAATCCCCTCTTGCCTGGTTGGTGATGCTGTGCCTGATGCCCCCAAGGACATGGATGTCCCTCCTGGCTGTCAGGGCGCTGCTGACTCATATTCTTGGTTTTATTTTTCTTCATATATATTCTACAGCCTTTGAGGACCACTTACAAATACATTCCTCTTAAATACATCCATCTTTCTACTGTGCAACACTTTTCCTATTTCATAAGCATCTACTCTAATCCATAATTTAGATAATGAACAAAAATTATGTGACATTCTGTAACAATATTGGCGGAATGACTTTAAAAATATCCTTCCTCTTTGGCAATGAGTCTTGATCAGTCGTTCTATGGAAACAGTTTCCTGTATTTTTTTTCTCCCGACATTTTCTTTCTGATAAGCTTGTCACATAAAACAGTGTCAAAATACAATTTATTTATTTATCCTCTCACAGCAGGGAACTAAAACGAAATTTTAAATCTCCATGCTGGTTTTAATATTCTTTTCACTATTTACTTTGGCTACTTCTTGTGTATTTTTTTCCTTTGGAAGGTTAACTTATAAAGCTTGGTGTAAAATTCCTTCTTGATTTTTCTGATCTCCCACTCTTTAAAGAGACACATTACACAGACTCTTTTCCACACTTTTACATCTTCACCCACATATTTCATGTGATCTTAAAGCATGCCAGCAGTAGTTTAGAGATAATTTCAACTCAGTTCTCAACTTTGTGTTTACAGAAAACAACAAACAATTGCTCTACCCCAATCCAATTCATCACTACCACGTGGGCAGCCTTTTCAGCATTTGAACTGATTTCTTGAAGGAATGCACATTCTGTCTGCATATATAAGGACAAGCTAGAAAAATAAGAAATCAGTTACACTGGCAATATTGATACAGTCTAAATGAAGTAATGTAGGACTCTACCATGAAGAAATATTAAAATTATTAAAATTAAAGTTTGTGAAATTTGTAAAATAATTTGAATATTAAAAAAAAATCTTAGCACAATCTGTCAAAGATTTTTATCAAGCAGTCTGAATTAAATGAGTCACCTAAATAGCCTTAGTGAACTGAATTCACATTAATTGCCTCTACTCTAAGGGTTGAAAGTCATTCACCACAGATACATAACTACTTTTAGGAAGCATTTCTTTAATTTGTTAAGGGAATGTATTCAATACAGGACCATCTAAGGAAAAGAAAAATAAAAACAAAACTAGGCCTTTTCTTTAGTATTACAAATACATATTTCCTGATATAAAATTTTGTAGAAATTAAAATTAGAATTACTAATTAGAAATTAGTACCGCATTAATCTCTGTGTTACTACACTCAATGTCTGATGTGAATAAGTGCTTTATGGAACACTTCCCAAAACTTGCAGTATTGCATGCAATAGCCCTTGACCAAGAATTTCTTTCACATTCACATAAACTATCTACTAGTATAGATGGTAAGTTGTTTCTTTACAAAAAATGTTTGTTCTCTTTGACTCTTTCAGGTGTGCACGAAAAGAAAAAAAAAGGGTCTCTGAAAGACTAAGTAGCTCAAACCACTCCTCTTTCTGCCCAAGTGAAATAAAATGAAATTTTCTCCCATTTAGCACCATGGGCAAATTAAGAGCTACATAGATAGAAGAACCAAATCCATTTGTCCCACAGTTGTCTAATCAGCTCCAATCTGGAGTAAATTAGTCCTGTTCACTGCCTTGCAGTGATGTCAGTGGGAGGAAAGCACACACCACCCAGCCAGCACAAGCTCCAAGCAGGAGTGTCTGCATTTTCTTGTCACCTCTCTCTGAAGTTATCTAGCTGATGGCATTTGCTTTCCAGGTCAGCTCAGAACAGAGCCTGTGACATTTAATAGCTGTGCTTTGACAGGCAACCAACAATGGGGAAAAAAACTAACCCCAGGTGGCTGACTGCAGGCAGTTAAGATGTGGGAAAACATGAATTTTGTTTTTTTCCTTCTCCTATTACTACTGCTGCAGGCAAGGCTGATACAGGCCAGCACTCTTAATCTGTGCTGGTATCTCAGACAGCATTCACCAAACTACTGCATCAACTTAATACTGACACATGACAGCCATTCCACTCCTCCTGATGAGTAAAGACTCATAAAAGACTCTGTATAAAGATACAGAGCCTCCTGATTGTGACTAAGAACTGATTAAATAACTTTGAGCCTTCTGCCTCAGTGCTAGGAACAGAGCATGCAGATACACAAAATAAAGACTGGATTTTCTCTGTTAAAAAAGGTGTTCCTAGGCTTAGACTCTTAACCAGAGTAATCACAAAACTAAGAATAGTTGGCAACTTTTTCTGGTAGAAAGAGACCCACATTGGTGGAAGAAGAAATCCCTGAAAATTTGTGTCTTATAGAATGACTGACCACAAAAAGTGCTACTTGTTTAGAGTGAAAGGCATGAAACAAAAATCTTCACCAGAAACTTTAATACTTAAATGCTTCTCTGTCAACAATGAACAGAACTACATTCTGACAAGCAAGCTGAGGTTTTGAAGAGTCTTCTCAAAATGAACTGATCTCATGAAATCACAGAGAACTTTAACTAGCTAGATGTTAACTGGGTAAAAAAAATCTGAGATTGCATATTTTCTAAGAAATGTCACAAGTAAATATGTGTATCTCCTGAAAATTCCTGTTCCACCATCTGGAAGACCCTCAAAATCTAACATTGATCTAGAGGTACATAGACTGGGGATTTAGGAATTAGTTGGTAGATTTAGGAATCCCCAGTCATATTTCTGCAACATCTTCTAGCAAGTGGTCCTCTTTGACTGCCAGTAAAACTTAAATAGTTTGTCTAAACCTGGAAACTAATCTAGATCACATCAAATTGTGATTTTAAAGAGAAGATTAAGTATTAATGGTTAACTTTGTTTGGCAAAAGAGTCATGCTTAGAGGCCCTCTGCCATTCTATTTTCATGTTGTAGCTTAGCTATTTTAAGGTGTCAGCAAAGTGCCATATAATAGACCTACAGAAGCTGAGAAATTTTACTCCTCATTTTACAGAATTGTTGGTAAAAGTTAGAAAATAAGTACTGGCTTCTAAATTCATCTTACGTCTAAATTTGTACCTCTATTTGGTCAACCAAAGACATAACTTTTTACACATTTGTCTCCTGCAATAAGGTCAAGAAAATAGGCAGGTTCAGTTGTATACAATTGGTCTGTCAAGCAGGGTTTCTCCTTAAAAATTAAACTGTGTGCTTAACAACTTACGGTCTGTTTGACTGAAAGCTTTGTATTCAATATAAAACCCTCTGTGGGTGACCAGCTCATCAGAATGGAAGTTGATTGCAACAGAATAGCCATATTCTCTGTTTCTGTTGTTTTCTGAAAGAGCTTTACAGTATCTAGCAAGACAAAAGTGAGAAATATTAATTTCTAACCAAACTGTCCGCTACCATCCAGCTATGTCTCCTTTTACTGAGTGGTGTCAAAAAGCTTTAAAATAATGCAATAAGGATCAGCTGTATTTTGGTGTTAAAACCGCTCAACAGAAGTTTTAGAAAGCCTAATTATGAATTTCTCCCACTCCCTAACTTTTTTTTCGGATTAGAGGACTTTGAAACAAAATACAGCAAGATGATCAATATCAGGGTCTACCTTGTAAACACAAACTGCTTCAAGCATGCTTGTTTTCATATTTCCCATTTAGGTTTGTAAACCCAAAAGTTACACATCCAGGAAAAGGAAAGGATTAAATAATTCAGCCAAATCCAACAGCTGTTACTTGTTTCAATATGGTCCTTCCAAGAGACAAATTTCTCTGAATAGCTTTATTTTTAGTGTTCGTGTAACAATGGCAATCATTGAAGAGCAAGTGGTAAAGAAAATTAAACTTCTGATTACACAAACTCTTCACCCACATCAAGACCACAGCCAGAAATTTACAGTTCAGCTGCAGCTGCATAAAATCCTGTAGTTTTCTACATTATTGCTCTAAGGGGAACAAGAGAAAAAGTAAATACCTGTAAGAAAAAACCAGGATGCTTAAATGTGCAGAACTTTAAAGTGCAAATCAATATGCCAGAAGATAATGTATTTACTCACCTAACTCCATCAATTTCTAGCCAGTCTTTATCACATTTACTGGACCCTGGAGACTTCTCTTGAATTTGTATTACAAGAATTTTTATTGAGAGCTTGTAACCAGGCAATGGTGCCTAAAAATCAAAAGATAAAAACCCTGATGTGCATTAATAAAATTAAAACAGCCTGTGCTTCCACGTTGTTCTGTGTATTACTGGATTGAGAGTACTGCATTTTTATTATGGAAATTAGAACCTCTGAAGAACCCAAAAACTTTGCTAATCTAAACATCTATAGAAGTCTTTTTAGACCCAACTTTGGCTAGACTGTGCCTGATGAAGGAGTGTAAGCCTTTCTGCAGCCAGCATAAAGCACTATATCTGAGGTTCATACTAGATTTTTAATGCCACATGTTCCTCTTCTGCACAGAGGTGAGAGTTTTGTGCTATAAGATGCTAATAATACTGTGAAAGGTAGAGAATGGTCAAGTTATGTACATGAAAAGTCTTCTTTACCAGGGAAACTAAAAGAGTAGCTAAATGCTGAATGGAACAATAGACTGACATATTAGGCAGTTGGTAGAAATCATGAACAGATTCTAAGTCTTGCCAGAGGACTTGCTTGAAATTCAGAGGTGAATTTCTGAGCCAAAGAAGGTCCTGGCTCTGCAGAATTCAGGGACATACACTGTGGCATCCATCATGTGAGGCATGATTTACATGACCACTTTTTTCTTTTTGACATAGAAAAAAAGCTCTGATTATTATTAATTTTTTCTGGCTGCTGGGAATTGTCATCTTACACATTAATTTGTTGCTGTCACAAATAATGCTCAAACTTCTGGAAGCTGGCAATATTTCCCTCCCATAGGTGGCACCTGTACGTAGGACAGGAAGGAGAAGCCTGAGGAGAAGTCAGGTTCAGTGGTCTCACTAGGTTTTCTCTGTTTCATCCACATCAAAAGCCATTTCTCCCAGTTTTGTGTCTACATAAGATAAAGAAAATTCATCAGAAGAGTTCCCAGCACATACCTTGATGATCCAGGTGCAGTCGATGTTTGGTGGGTAATAACTTGGGTAATAAGGGGAACTCAGTGTCCCATTCCAGGAAATGTAATGACCACCACATACTAGGAGAGAAATACATCAGCAAGGAACACAGTTATCTCAGCTGTACAAAAATGCTGAGTTTACTTAATTTGCTAGGACCCTTCTCTATGTACAGAGTTAGAAGAATACACTCTGACAATATTCAACTCACATTTTTCCTGTATTAACTGAAAATCACTTAACTTCCACCTCCAAATAAAACTGACTTTCTCTTTTTTTTTTTTTTTTTGATCAAATTACAACTAAGGGTAAGTACAAAGAAACCTCTGACTCAAGTTCTCCTTTTTTAAATAAGCATTTTTTTCATGGTAAGTGAAAGAAGCAACCAGCTGTGGATGCAACCAACCTCCCCCTTCCAATTTACTTTTAACTTTTCTGTAGGTATTTTCAAAATTAAAAAGCAATTAGCCCAGTGAAGTGCAAATTGATTAATTTCATGTAAACAAGGAAGTTTGTGTATCAGTTCTCCGTTTGAAAATGTCATATTTGAACAATTCCTTTGAAGTTTTATTTTCTACCAAGGACTCTCTTAGATATCCAGCCCTTAGTGCTTTTGGTTCCCTTTAGGTAACGTTGTGAATGCAAATATGAATATAACAGAAAATAAGATAATTTTGAAATTAAAAAAAATCTTGTAGCAAAACCTGGGCTAAATGTAATTTGAAATGTCCATCCTCAGAACAATAAAGCCATTTAAATTAGTAATGTGCATGGGATAAGTATTTGGGTAAGCAGCATGCAGAGAGACATAAGCTGAAATGTGGAAGCTTTGGAGGAGTTTGACCTTAGTGATTTGGTCCACATGTTAAAAATTAGTCACTTGCTTCATTGTCAAAACTCTTTCACTTATACCTTACCAAATAACTGTGGCTAAACTTGACCCTGTCAAACTCCTTTATCTCTTCTAAAATTAATAGTAATTAATACTACAGTTTAGCACTGTAGTAAAATCCATAGTACCTCATAGGTTTGGGATGTACATCTTAGGTTTGGAACACACTTTTCTTATTCAGTTAAGTACACTGAATAATGCATTCAGAAAAAGAACAAAGATAAATTAGAAGTGTTTGCTCTTGTTTTCCATGTTCTTTAAACACATGTTCTACTATCTGTGGATACATTGCCAAAAATGACAAAAGCAGCTGCTCTGGCACTGGGGCTATCTAACTTTGCACAGACAGATAATATGTGTGTCTGTCTGTCTGTCTGCTCCTCTGCCACTACTCAGTGCTACCCATGCAATGACCAGCAAGTAAGGCTTGAGTAATTATTGGGAAGACAAAGTCTCCCAGACCAAAGGATGTTCTCTCTTTGTTCAATTCTCAGTCTTTTGTAAAGTGGATCAGAATGATAATTCCCTGTTTTATATGCCAACGTTCCCTCCCCCAGATATTTTCAAGGCAATATCAACTTTTTTAGAGGCAAAAACAGTACTAAGTGTGCTTCCATCAGATGTTACATACTGATTTTAGGAACAGCTTGAAAGTGAGCTTTTAATATATTGCTTTCTCCTCTTTGGTCCAGCGAGAAGGTAAGCAACATCACATTACTCGATGAAGTCAAACGCACAACAGAAGGAGTCCAGGCCCCAGGCCCACACCATCTGGAAGATTTAAAAAAAAAAAAAAAAAGTTAAAAAAAGTAATCCCAAAACATTTCCCACACTCCTTTCATCTTTGCTGGGAAACTGGGCAGAAGTAGCACTGATCTGGGCATCTGTGTTTTAGAAGTATTCCCTTGGCTACCACTTCCCTTTTATTTCTTATTTTATTTTTATTTTTATATTTATTTATTTCCCTTTTATTATAACACAGGATGCTAGGGCTTCCCAGCATTGAGGCTAGTCACTCTGCATGTACATCACTGTTTTCTTGCTTAACAAGTGCCCTGGAGTTTTCATACCTATAGAAGCATCAGAAAGGCAATGCCAGATTGTGTTACTTCAGTGGTGATAGTGGCACTGAGAAAAAAAAGGTTAGGGATGAAAAGGCAGCAAGTGCCAGTGCAGCAGTGTTGAGCAGCATCTGTGCAACAGATAAACCCAAAACATTTTCAATCTATCCACGTTCAGCCTGGTTTTGTGTCACAAAAGCTATCACACCCCATGCTTGGTAACTATCACTTCCTGTTGCTCTTGTAATGTGAGATGATATTTCTGGCATCTGCAATTCACTCTTATGCTTATTCCATTTTGCAACCCATATATTCCTTTTAGGAATATGATATTTAGGACTTTTTTTCATTTATTTATAGCTCGATGATCCTTGTGGGTCACTTCAAACTCAGAATAATCTGTCATATCTGTGAACCTATACGTTAAAAATTCCCAGCAGGTTTCTCTTTTTCTATGCACTCAAATTAAAGCAATTAAGATTAGACCTCACAGTAACAGATTATTTCCATCACAGCCCTGCATCAAGTTCTTTGATGTCACTGAGATCCAGACTAGCAGCTTCAAAATCAAAATTTTTAACCTTAAATTGAAAGTAGTTGTCTGCTGCTTTAGCAGGCTATTCCTTTCATGTGTTTGAAGTGAGTCACTAGTGAACGAATCTCTGCTTTGCCTCTCCTGCAGACATTATTAAATCCTTTTTATCATAATAGCTGACAAAGCATTTATAAAATAACAATATAAGTCCTCTCTTCATGTGGAAATATTCCTCAACCCAGTTGACAGCCTGGCTTATCTTCTCTCTGTGCCTTCTGTCATGATATCATCAGAAACGCAAGGCAAGCTATGAGAAGAGTTGTCCACATGAGATGCTTACTCTCACAGCACACCTCACCATCTCAGCTTGAACAGATTTTAGGATTTGTCACTGAACAGATGTATTACTGCAGTTTACAGAAACTGGAGAGAATCAGTTCAGTCACCATATGTGACCCTAGACCTCAACATCAGGGAATAATAGCTGCCATAATTACTGGCTGTCACAGATATTGGACATACTGTTGTTATTATTAGTTCTACTGTATGCATCTTAAATATGTCACTAGGCTGCTTTAGACCCAAGCACAAAACTAATAGACATATGCAAATTTTCTAGGGTGGCAGTAAAAGCAGCCAAAAAAATCAGGGTTTTTTTGAGGTTCCATCAGGTTTTTAACATCATTTCAGTCATAAAATTCTGCTTTGGCTCTTTAATAGACAGATATCAATGAACATTCTTGTATTTCATCTTACAGCTTACTGCATCAATGTTCTATAAATGTGTTACATCAGACACCTGTGTTGGTCTTGCTGTCTTCCAGGTGTCTTCATGCTCATGGCCATTTTATGGGTCCTAAATACATTTATGGGTCCTAAAAAGCTGAGCCAGTGGTAAAAATGCACGATGGAGTAACAGGCACAGCAATAATCCATAATAAGTAGCAGAACAGATGCAGGCCCACATCGGGAATGGGATTCTCCTGAATATTAAGCTACAGTTTGAGCATAACTCCTTACAAAACTTCTTACTAAACTGTTAAGCTACAGTCTGAGAGTAACTCTTGACAAAAAACCTTGTGTCCATTCCATGCCACAATGGCAATCTGTTATGTCTTGTTGCATAGAGAGCAATTAATACATTAATAGAGCTGAAGAGGACCACCTACTCAATTAAGCTAAAGCACTCCTAAACAAGTGCATTTCAGATTCCTAGCTGAATCTTCATGCCCAGCTAACCTCTTCCTGAAAGTTCCTAAAAATTAAATCAAGTTCCCCTCTTGAAACCATCCATCCTCAGATCCTACAGCTTGTTTATTTATTTGGTTGAGAAAGACAGATTCCTTTTTTGTGGAATCTGTGCTCAGACATGAAATTTGCCTCTGAAAAGTAGGAGCAGTGTAGCCACTCAAATACCATCTGAACTCACTTATTCAAATAGACTACACAGTGACACTGAGGATGGAGCCTTGCAACCTCCTATTATGAACAGGAATTCAGCTGTGACTGGGCTGCCATAAAACACATATTTTCTGAAAGTAATAGAATATAATACTCTAAAGGAAAGTCTCTTTTTGAGTTGTGAGAGTAATTTTAAGGAGCCCATTAGAATTAGCCATAGTGCAGAATAAACCCCACAGAAATTTGTAACATGTTCCCTAGGGAAGGGGTCATGGCACAAAGCCTGTCAGAGTTCAAGGAACATCTGGACAATGCTCTTAATCAGATGGTTTGGTTTTAGGTAGTCCTCTGAGGAGCAGGGAGGTGGACTTGAAAAACCTTATCAGTGCCTTTCAATTGTTTTAGAATATCTTTTTATTATGCTATCCAAGATTTTAAATTAAGTTGTGTTTCAAACATCACATTTAATACATCTGGTACAGTTTCAGAGAGCTTCTGTAAAACATCCTTGCTCTGTATCTTACCTGGTGATGATCTTGTTCTGCAGTGGAAGAAGGAAATCATATGCTGACAAGTGGTGTGATGCACAGCTCTCTGGAGTGACACCATGCTGAGTGATAACTACCAGTCTCACCACGTAATTAGAAGGAACTCTCAGTCTCCATTGATAAAAAGACTTTTTGGGATTCATCAGAGTTAGAGTCCTGTTGTTACCTGGCTTGGCATACAGGTCAAAGGATACTGCTACAAAAAAGAGCATAGATCAATATGGAGAAGCTGTCAGATTGAAAGACAAGTTCTTGGGTAAGATTTCAGACGAGGTAGAAACAATTACCTACCCACATTTCTTGACTCCACTAGTCCCTTTTTGCTCTTAGGTTTACAGCTCTGTTCCCTTTTCAGTCTCCATCACCTTCTCCTGCTCTGGCCAAGGGAGTACAAAGCCTCACCACCACGAGCAGGAGCTGATTCAGCTGCAATTGCTACAATATCTGCCTCACACCTACTGCTTCCTTTGCTTCCTTTGCCATTTTCTCTTCCTTCTCCATGCAATGAGAACACTAAGTACATGAAGACAAATCTCGAGATGCGCTCGATATGAAGAAATCAGGCAAAGTGAATTAAAGCTCTACATTACCTGACTGATCACTAATAACATACAACCAAAATTGTCTAATCACAAGCCAAATTATGTACAATTTTTCCTTTTTTTTGAGGTTTTGTTGGGTGGTTTTTTTGCTTGCTTTTCTTTTTTTTTTTTTTTTAAGGAATGGCAAAAATAGGAGCCACAGCTCACTGCAATTCAGTGGGAACTATTACATTTTCAACCATTCTAGTCAGAACATCAGAATAAGGTATTTTCATCCAGCCTTATTTGAAACACAAGACATGGAGACTCCATGGCTTAGTTTAGTTCATATACTCTCTACAGATATAACAATAACTCAAAAAATGCCATTTTTCTATCACAGAATTCCACTCCCCATCAAAGTGGTATCACTTAGGATTGAAGCATAATTACCTGATCTTAAGATCATATCATATTCTGTGGAATCTGAAACTGAAATGTAATAATTATCAGCTACACAAGCCAAAGACATGAAGTGGAGAAAGAAAAATAGACAGGATAGGTATCAAATGACAGGTACATTGTTACCAAAAAGCTCCATTGCAACAAGATCAAAATCTTCCTGCCCAGAACTGAACAAGGGAACTGCTTGTTTACTACAGATTTCTTTTTGTTTCACTAGGGTTAATTTTTTAAGAGAAGCAACCATATCTTGTGGTGCCCAGAATGTATTCCAGAAGTAAGCTCGTAGCCCAGATTCTCCTTCACTGTGAAAGGAAAAAAAAAATCACTATAAATACAGTCTAATTACTATTTTGGTTTTCACTGGTCTGCATTTTCAGCTGGCACAGTTTCATAGCCAGCTGAACTTCTGTGCCCAATAGCTGCTGCTAAACATGGTGACAAAAAGCTCTCTTGTTTAACAATTATTTTTGCTGTATTTTTATACAGTAGAACTATTTTTTTGACATATGCAGCTTAACCAGCTACACACTGAGACTGAAAACCACACCTTGAAATCCTTCAATAGTTTTTATGAAATTGGATGTCATCATCCCTGCTGTATAATTATACACTTTTAGATCATATAACAGCTCCATACACATTGCAATTCATTTTTTAAATGGAAGCTAGCACCATACAACAGCACAATTTTATGCTCATACTTTGACATATAATTTAACACCATTTTTGTTGAAATAAAGAATCCTTGAGCATAGACATACAAGTTATTACTTCAGTGATTCCACCACAATCCTTTTGAAATTACCTGTGCACTGACCCTTCAGGGTTTCCAGAAGCTACCAGGATTGTAATAACCTGCTGCTCAATTGATTTACATTTCTTACCAGGAGCTCAAATTGTGTTTTGCCCCAAATCACACATTTAAGGATTTGTTTTCAGACATTAAAAGAGAACTTAATTTGAATGGACAAAACCAAAATAAGATCCTGCAAGTGCTGAATTGTTACTTCAATAATTAAAAGTAGATTAATAGACAGCAAAACAACCCATAGACTCAGGAACAATTAATCAGACTTCATTTATCTCACCAATTCTACAGAGCAGGACAGAAGTCACACTATTAGCTTAGATCATATACTTCAATGCATTGCTGCATTTTAAATTCTCTTACAAAGATGTGCATTTTCTTCTAGACTGCAAATTTAAAGTGCATTAAAGAAAAAAGGGAAAACACAGCTGAATAGCTCAAATTTCTACCATATGCTGTCACAACACCTACCTGAAAGCAGCCACTACAGACTTCAAGTAGTATTTTCCCAAGAAGGAAGATTCATATGTTTCTGCCAACTGATAATGAAATAGTAGTAAAAGAAAATGTAAAATTATATTTCAGTGCCAGAATAACCTCTAATACTATAAAGTGCTTGTCTTTTCATTCTTTCCTCTTCCTCACTGCCCTCCCCCACATTACAAGCACTGTCCATAATTTTCACAAAATCTATCAAAAAAGGATCATAAATGTGCATTAAATACCATTAAAAATTTGCTTTTTCACATCACATTCAAGGCCATTGAGACAGTTCTTGATAATTAGCTGTGAAGAAAGTCTTTATGAATACATTTAGATTTTTGTTTCAGTCTTTGAACTTCTGGTATCACCAACTTGTATTGGCTGTGCACAGAGCAGCTTTGAGACACCAGATTAGTTCTTTTGAGAAATAGAAGCTAACAGAGAACAGCTTTGTCTTCAAAACTGCTGTCCACATGTACCTAGGAAACAGTACTGATCTCACAAATAGCAACTCATAAGAAGGGCAAGAAAGCAAGCACTGTTGTGAGTGATAAGGAAAATTTAAAAAGTGAAGCATTGATTTGGAGGTAAAAGTAAAAAGAAAAAGGAAAATGTAGAAGGAAGAGAGTTTGAATAAAGTAAATAAAACAAACCCCACTCTCATATTTCCTTCAAGACAAGTAATTTGTCCATAATCCTGAAACCTTATTACCTAGAAAATATTGACCTTACTCTAAGACACACAGCCCCATAGTCTAGCTGCATTTCTAAATCTGAAAACTGCCAAGGCTCTTCCTAGCTTTAAACTTACTATTTCCTAGGGAAATAAAAAATGGCTAACCCGAGTCCTCTCCTGATTCCCAACTGCTTCTGTATAAATACAAAATATTGCCCTACTTATGTGGAAACTTACATAATTTTGTATTGCCTTTGCTTGCAGGATGAACTTCTGTGATGTTGGATCATTGAGGTCATTTGTATAAGTCAAATTAGGAATTTCTACACTTCCACTGATATAAATAAAGGAAAATGCTGGAGCAAAAAAAAAAAAAAAAGAAAAAAAATTAGCACACCTAATAACGTTACAGAGCAAGACACTTGCAGAAATATGTGCTTATCCTTGGCATTTGCAGGTATTAGCTCTTAAGAGAAACATGCAGTAATAACTAGAGCACTGAGTCAGTCCCACTGACAGAGTAATGCCCAGCAGGAAAAGAAAGGAAGGAGAATAAAGGCTTAGTCAGGCATTTCTACTAGGAAGATTTCATTGTTAAGCTTCCAATTTTTTTGCAGTACTCTCCTCCTGAAGAGGCATGGCTTTAATGGCTATGTGTTGATATTTGGGGAAGTACATAAACAATTTAGGTACCCTTTCTGTTTAAAAAAAAAAGTGAAGAGAAAATAAAGAAACAATTCCTATAGGTTCCTGCAAAAGATAACACTTAATACCAATAATGATGGTATTCATGAGCAGTGACAAAAAATAATTGCTGGGGAGCAACACTTACAGAGTGAGTAGTGCAGGAGAAGCACAATTGCTGTCACTGTTAAAGAAACTGTAGGTAATATTCCTAGAAGACATCTCCTCCAGAAACACAACTTCACCCATTTGAAGAAACGATGCATCCTACCTTCTTGGTAGGATGGGCAGTCATAAACACACAGACTTTCCTAGAGAAAGACCATGGATGGCATCAGTTAGTAAGAACAAAAGAGCTGTGGTATCATATTTTGGTGTATTTACTCTCATAGTTTTAGAGAGATTAAAACTGAGATAAGATCTTTCATGTTATCAGCTAGGGCACACATGAAACCCTCACCTCCCTGGGCTATTTCCTTCTTGTATGCATTTCAAGCTGTAAAAGTGGGGTGGTGGTGGGGGGGAATTTTTATCACTTTAGTTAAAAGCAATTTATGAAGAACAGGGATATTGTAAGTGCAGGCAAATTTAACGGGAAGAAATGATGATGTTTGACTTAATTCAGAAGGCTGAATTTTTTTTAATTGTAATTACGTTAAAATATATTAATATGTCATATAAAAGGAGGATATTAAAACTACATACTACTTTCGCTGACTCTAACACAACTCGTGACCCTCTCTGGAGAAGGTGGGTTGGATTGGCCATCAGGCTCAAACAATCCTCACCAGAATCCAACCAAGCCAAGTGAACAATCAAATTGTTCACTCCAGGTGAACAATTCTCTAAACACATTCTACATAGGAAAAACAAGGAGCAGAAATATAAATTGTTTTCTCTTTCATTTCTCTCTGTGCACCTCTATGAAAAATCTTGAGGAGGAGAGAAATGTGCTTACCACACAGGGGTCAGTGCAGACAGGAGTAGACAGAGATAATTTATTTTCTGGTTTCTACTACAAAGCTTAGCTGGTGGCTCTTACCTGCCCTGCAGCCCGTTCAGCATCTGGAGCTGGAATGCTGTACACAGAAATCCGGCCGGAGGGAAACGCCTGCGGCATGATGCTGTGACAAATGCCTTTTGACAAAGTTTGCAGCAACCCCCTAAATGAACCCTGTTTCTTAAACAGAATAGCTGCTCTCCCCCCTACACACACCAGGCTTCTCTTATTTCACCTTTACCACACTGCAGTCCAAGAAGGTGGGCAGGAAAATTATCATCGCTGTAACTCTTTGTTCACCTGAGTGGCTCAGTAGGATATGGATCCCATCATTTGAAACTAAATCACTTCTTTCAGAAATACAACAGCAGGGAAATAATCTCTGACACAATGCAAAGGATATGCAAAATTTACAGATAAAAGGTCCCAGGACAACATAAATGAGGCAAATTTTAATAAACACCTTGGGGAATTTATAGAAATATCTGTAAAAGAGGAGAAGTGCTCAGTTCCACATATCACCTTAGTTTCCCAGCTTCAAGACTGTACAACAGAATAAATGTGGTAAGTAAACTGCAAACCAATTTATGTTCACATTTCCTGTTTGAAAGAAAAAGCAAGTTTAAGTCAGCAAACCATCAAGTTCAGCATATTCTGCATGCAACATAAGAAAATCAAGGATGCGTGTGGGGAAATAACATATTTGTTACATGTTGAAAGAGAGGAGAGAGGACAAAGAAGAGAATCTAGAAAAGCAAAAGGTGATGAAGTAATCTCAGCCCCAGAAAAATAATACAAAGGGAACAAACAAATCCGAACAGGTCACACAGAGATTGCAAAAGGGATTAACTGGAAGACAATCCTCACAGCTCAGAAATTCAAACTACAGCTGCAGACAGATGGCTTTGTTCAAGTCCTCTGTTTTTCAACCTGTCTCTGCTACACATACAGAACCTGCTGACTGACATTTGCCCCTTCCTTCATGGAAAAAAGAAAAAAAACCACAGAAAAAGGCCTAGAGGAAACAAACCTATGATATTAAAATTATATCATGACCTTTTAGAAACACCAGTTTCATTTAATCAAGGACAAGATCATTGCAATAACACACATCACCATGTTTATTCATCTTGATAAGGTTACCTGAAGCTCAACAATTCAAATTCTTAGGTAGATGAACTTGAAAATGAAGAAATGAAAGCAGGAAATAAAAGTTAGTAGCTCCATATCATGCAGTTAATTAAAATGAAAGCAGGAGAAGGAGTAAGCATGCAACAAATCACTAATAGCAGCAGAATTTCTGATCTTCAAAATTTAGGTCCCTATGGATTTGAAAGGATTGCATTCACTTTTTACAGGGTCTCCTCTCCCTTTCTCCCTGTCAGCAGGGACAGCAGTATTTGCCAGAGTGCAAACAGCTCACTGCTACTTCTGTATTGGCTGCACACATCTCAGAAGAAATGATGAGCAAGCCTCAAGCTCTCTGTTTACACAATCAATTGTATCTTCAATTTCCTGACAGGTGAGTGCACCTGCACTTAGTTGGTGCCTTGAAAATTAAGTTTATTATTGCACCTTCCCCCATGTCTCCAGATATCTGTGTGGAACAACTATCACAAGGAACAGCCTCCTCCTTTTTCACCAAAGCTCAAAACACTGATATTTATTACCCCCATATCCAGAATCAGCAAGAGATTCCACAAAGAATGCAAAGAAATTCCACAACTGAACAGTTTCTCCAAATATTATTTTAATGAAGATGTCCAGGACATGTTTTATTCCAAGAAAAGAGTTTTCAAGTTACAAGACTGAAGGCACATATTTGTGTATCCATGGTGCAAAATTTGACACTCTTGTGTAGACACCTGGGAAATTTGGTCTTCCACATCCATAACCCCAGCTCACAATGCCAGTCAAAAACCATTTTCCATCTCCATTGCTTTGACATGACAGTGGTCCACCAGAATCACCCTAAAGATAATACATTGAGTTATATATATTTACAATATGAATTATGAAAGCTGGGGGAAAATCCACAGAAGATATTTTGCATAATTCCAGTGATTATATTTTCATATTAAATAGTTCAAACAATTGATAGGGTTTTTTTTTCAAGTAGATGGCATTGCACAATTTTACTTAAGTTTGCTCTTTCACAAGATAGAAGGTAATTCTCACTCTTTAAAGATGCTAATAAAGATATTACGTTGCATGGACTATATTTTAAATTCACTTTTTTTTTCCTAACTTCACACTTAAAGTTAAACCCCAAATCTGCTACTTAATATGTATATACAGTCATGGGTTTCAAACTAAAACTCAAAAATAGTAAGCTTTTGAAAATATTTTAAAATAAGATAAATACAATCAAGTATTTAATAATTGTATGACTTATTTCAAACTAAAGATGAATGGAAACAGGTGGAATCCCTTAATTGTTTTGTGGGTTTTTTTGGGTTTTTTTTAAGAAGGAAAAAGAGCCTAAGGATTGTTCTCTAGTAGATACTTGTCAGCGTATAATGTTATGGGGCCCATAATGTCTTGGTAATTAGAGCAGTTAAAATGAAGTAATTTTAACTAAATGCAAATTTTCCATTTGGGGAAACCAAGCTGATACCTCCCTGTAAGGCTCTGCTGTACATACAGAATCTTTGAAACAGACACCCGGTGGCAAATTAACTTTACCAAAATATTGGGTGCAAGAAACAATGTCTAAAAGCAAAAGGTGCATTTGGCAAAATTCAGATGTTTTGCAAGAGAAGTGCCTTCTTTCTAGACAAATATTTTTTTAGAGCTAGAAAACTATTTTGCCTTCACTTTATAGGTTCTTGGGATATGCAGGTTGGAAGAGATCTCTTCCAAGGTGCTTAGGTGCCACCCACTCCTCAAAGGAGGATTATATTGAATTGCCTCAAAAAAGGCTAAGAATTTAGAAGACTTTTTTCCCTTCCATGGCAAATAAGATTTCCAATTTTAGAGAGTAAAATTTTCAAGTCTTTTCTTTCATTCCTAGGACAAAAATGGAACACTACCACTTTTCACACAACAAGAATACCAAAATTTGATTTGCTCTAACAACTGCCAGACACAGAAACAAATCATTTGCCTCTACAAAAAAGAAGCCAAAATTATGTCTTTCCCTGGCTATATCTTGAGTAGCCATAAACAACCAAATTCTCCAGTTATTGAAAATGATACTTAATATCAATGGCCTCACTAACCTCTAAAAAACAGCTGGAGCATTATACTCCTTCAGCCTTTGAAGGCTCACTCATTTTTATGTAGATCAGTGAAAGCTAGAATATCTTGAAGATTCCAGATCTCCATCATTAAAAAATGGTTTTATTGTTTCAGCAGTAAATATACTACTGTTTTAGCAGTAAATGTGTATGGTTCATAAAAGTTCAATATAATATAATATGGCAATAAGATCTGTAATATTAAGTGTCATATAGATAGATACTGCGTATTTATGGGGTTTTACTACTATTTACCAGAAATAAATTCAGCACTTTACATTTATCTTTCAGCTTTTCCAGGTCAGAAAGATCTTAAATTTGCAAATTTATACCTAATTGTCTGCATCTCATCACACAGTCCTGTATTTCCAAGTAGGAGGGGAGGGATCCTGAAAAGACACAAGCTAATTTCTCAGTTTTTTTCTTCACCTGAGAGCCTATTATGATGAAAATTGCCTGATTTCAACTTGTTATTGGGACTTGCAATTTGGTTGGCTCTTGACCTGCCACTGAAATTTAGTGATGCTACTCATGCACATAAAGCAGCAGAACTCTGAAATCACCCACAGAAGAGATTTGCTGAAAGAAAATTCTCATATTGCTCTATTTCAAGACCACAAAGTGGTCTGCCTGTCAACTTTACACCTCCTCATGCAGCAATGAAAGACCAGATAAGCTCTATGCCAAGTTTGCTGAGGTACATACTTTACACCCATCTCTTTTCCCAGATGATAACCCGGCACAGAACATCCGAGCTGTGATAATCCCGTACGTGGAATGACACAGTGTCTGGTCAATAATTTCTACCTCTGCTTTCTGAAGAACTGCTGAACCTTCATTGTCTGGAAAATGAATTCAGAGCAGAATATTCAGAAAATATCCACAGATATTTTAGACCATTGTGTTATTCCAGATTCCAAACAACTAACTGCAACAGAGCAGGAAGCCTCTTCCAACTATCAGGCAATTGTGTGATTTAATCTGGGTCCTTCAGCCACCCCAAACACAATCACTAGGCTTGGCCAAAATCACTAAGATTAATTAATGACTTGGCATAATCACTAGGATTGGCCAAAAAGTTTTTTCTTTTTTTTTTTCCCCAAAACATCTCAAGACTTCTTAATTTGCTCTCTTTTTATTTCAAAAAGGAAATGGAATTTTACAAAGATATTTAGATCATCACATGATAGATTTGCAGTGAGGGCAGCATATCTGAAGAAGCCAAATTCAAGATTATGAGTCAGTTTCAGAATGCGAATTCTCACAGCATAAAGAACCAATTTCCACATTTGCTTCTTTCTGTCTGTAAGATTTGGTGAAACACCTCTTTTTCATAAGATATATATTTTAATAATAACCAAATTAACCAAAAGTTTCTCCTCCTTTCAATACAGCAGGCCCAATCTCATCACCAGGTGATCCTTTCAAAATCTGGTTATAGCCAAAAAGCCCTCACCCACATATTCAAATATGCCAGCACTGGTTTAAATCATGAAACTTTATTTTAGGATTTGATGAAGCTAGTATGTAATAAAGTATATTTTGACATTACAAGATTGATTTGGCATTTGTATTATAGAAGCTGATGAAGGGACTAGGGGGAAACAGGAAAAAAATATGCCTCCCCTTTTTTTTTTTTGAGGCATTATATTTGCCTTTCAAATAACCAGCTTTTTAATTTTACACTGATTAACCAGCAGCCCAAAGAGAGAAACCCCACCATGTGTCACACAGCTCCAAGGGGAACAGAGGGGACAGACAACACTGTGATATTTTGGGGTAAGTGTAGCTCCCTACACTAGCAGAACAATATGGAAGAAATTCAGATCCAGCAGCCAAATTTCCTGAGTATATGAAGGTACACGCATGTTGTAAATGCAGGTGAACCCAATGGGAAGAAATGACCATGTCTGACTCAATTCAGAAGGCTGAATGATTTCTTTATTATAACTATGCTAAAATACATTAATATACTATATAAAAAGAAGATACTCAAACTACAAACTACTTTCTCTGACTCTAACACAACTTGTGACCCTCTCTGAGAGCCCAGCCCCAGGTGGGTTGGATTGGCCATCAGGCTCAAACAATCCTCACCAGAATCCAACCAAGCACTCACTCCAGGTAAACAATTCTCCAAACACATTCCACATGGGAAAAACAAGGAGCAGAAATAGAAATTGTTTTCTCTTTCATTTCTCTCTGTGCACCTCTATGAAAAATCTTGAGGAGGAGAGAAATGTGCTTGCCACATGCACACTCCCCCTCTCCAGCTGTGAAGGCTCCTGGGAACAAACTCAGCTCAATGGAAGGGATAAAACTCACCTGCTTCCTGCTTTTGACCCCAACCTGTTATCCAGCACTTGTCCCCGCTGCGGGCTCTGTGGGAAGAGGGCGGCAGGCAGATGGGCTGGATGAGGTGGCCCATGGTGTCCGGCCAGGGCGCGCTCAGCTGCAGCAGCGCGATGTCGTAGTCGTAGTTCCTGCTGTTGTAGAACTCGTGCACCACGATCCGCCGCACCGCGGACACCAACGTGGCACGGCCCTGCCTCTGCATGCCCAGGTGGGCACGCCACGCTCTGGGGTCAGCCAGCCTGGGTGGGAGCAAACAAAGGGTTGGGTCTTAAAAAAGTACCTCAAAACACCCACTGACAGCAGGGCTGGGAAAGCAGAGCCAGCACCTCCATGCAGGTCAAACTCTGGAAGCTGAAGGCACCTGTGGGTTCTGGCCGTGTTTGGGACAGATATAGAGGGAACACTGCTTACTTGCTCCCTTGAAAGCAGTGGGCTGCAGACACAAGCCATTCTTTTGATATCACTGATGCTCCACAGTAAGCAGCTCCCACAAAATGAAGGCTGACCTGCCAGGGCCATTCACCTTCCTCAGTGTTTGAGCCACCCACAATCCGAGAGATGAGGTTGTTGATCTTGCTACTGCCACAACCTGCAAAAAATATTTCGGGTTGTAATCCCCATCTCCAGTACTGTCCTTTAATGAGGGGGCTTCCCACGTAAGGCATGAAAGAATCTTGCACTTTGAAATATTTTGAAATCTATTTAATTCCCTGGCTATAATTACAAAACTTATCTCTTTGGCTACTCTATCAATTAAATCAGAGATGACTCAGTAAAATTTCCCATCCGGTGCCTTTTTATGAAGTCCCTTTTCTAGCTCTGATACAGAAATTAGCCTCTAAATATTTCTTGTGTCAGAAATGTCAAAGGATCCATTGATTTAATAAGCATCACAATGAATATATACAAATAGGCAAACCGTTATCTCTTTTTGATACTGCCAACCCTGACCTGAAAGGTTACCATCAACAAAGAAGTTCAATGTCATCAGGACTCTTACTTCTTGCCAAAACAGTGGAAATGATACAAGAAAAATGTATTGTGGAGATTTATTTGACAAACAAGTTGGTACAATCATTATTT